TGAAATCTACATTTCTATTTGGCTGTTAATATTTGCAAACTTAGTTAATCTGATTATATTAATATTTGCTCTTTAAAGGTGGAGATGATACTTCAAGCCTTAGAATATGAAGATGGTGAGTGCTTGCTTCCTCTTTCTGTTTCGTCTTTGTTCACTATATAATGTTATGGCTTCTAAAACTCTGTTAAATCACGCAAATTATCATTTAATCTTCAAAACATCAAACATCTTCCGGATAAAAATCATTTTAGCAAGGCTCTTGTGTACCCGATATGACATTGAACTTTGTTAAACTTTTTCTCCATGGTGTTCTTGGGTTCCCTATGAGATATAGTTTTCCTTGACTCATATCTGTGAAATTTATTTAGAGGCTACAGTTAGTTGTACGCTGAAATTACCATGATGAAGATGATAATTAAGCAGTTGAGCATTAAATTAGTATTCTATACTAATATTTTTGAGGCAGGTCTAAGAACTGTTCTATCCATGGTTTTGCCATTGTCATGTTATATCCTTTTCTGTAGGATATGTATGTTGCACATATTGGCTTCTGGTGAATCTGTACCGTTAACTACTATAATTAGGAATGTCTTGATTACTTTCAATGTAGTCTGTAGAATAGTAACTTCCCTTTGACAGAATGCATCTTGCCAAACGAGATTATTTGAAACACAGTTTTGATCTATAAAATTTAGGAAGTTGGAACATCTTTCACTGTTTGGAACTTTGGCAGTTTCATTATGCTGCATCTTTCACTCATCCATGTGGTCTCGATCTTCTGAGTTCTGACACATTCTCTCATCGCTTTTTGCAGAGCAGCAGAAGGATTTGGATGAATTTTTTGAGTCAACTGCTGGTATGGGTTTCTGCTTCATCTAGTTCTAGTCTCTGCTTCATCTAGTTCTGCTTCATCTATATTTTAATGCTTCTTCATGCTATTGTGCAAAGCAACCCAAAATGGGGCTCAAGGTGACCTTGGGAAAGAAACTTTCGTGCAAGTGAAGAGAGCAAAAAGCTCACTATCTAATATACTGAGACCATCTTACTGTTCTTTGACATTGTGCATGATTGCTTCATAGGAAGATAAGGCTGTTGGATTTTGAGTGAATTTGGAATTTAGATTTTCAGCCCAAACGTTCAAGTGTCTCTTTTTCTCCCTTTCGTTTTACTGTCAAATTTTAATGCATTTTGTTGGCTAACAACCTCTGATTTGACTGGGAAATCGCGGGTTGTCCATAATGCTATTATTTTAAGGATGCAATTCTTTTTGGGCCTGCATAGCTTGCCGCTGAGCATTGTGTAGTTTGGGTGCCACATTAGACTGTGATTCTGATATTCAAATTTTGTTGGGTGATCTGGAATTAGATCCTTCCATTGGTTCCTTCGCATGTTTTCTCGAGATCCAGAAATTATAGGACGATGTATGAAGATGGATGACTCTTAACACATGTTAACAAAGTATCTAATTAATTATTTGCTTATTTTAGTGATGTTAGTATTAGTAGTTTATTCGTACTGTTCTGTCATCTTCCAACAGAACATCTGAATGGCCTTACGAATTCTCTTGTTCCTTTTTCGGCAGGGAAGTTTCAGACTGAAACGGGCAAAGCTTGGGCATTGGAAATAGTATCAAGGAGGACGAAAAATCATCACCCCAAGTTACACTGATATTTGATCCGGTTCTTGTGTTCTTATTGCAATAATTGGAAAGCTTGGTGGTTGAGGTGGAAGTTGAACTGGCAGCGATGTGATAACAAGCAAAGAATCCCACGCTGGGTGCCCAAGGCCCACCAACAGGCTGAGAAATGGTGGCTGCGCAGGAAGCAGCGGGTCGAAGTACAACCCGCTTTCATTAGTAACAGAATATTAGCTAACCAATATAACCTACGTGCTCATCCAATTCTGAGCTTCCTTTGACATCTTTGAATACTCTTAGACATTTTTTTGGGCCTCAACATACCTTTGGTGGTTAATGATCTCAGCGAAGCCTATATTGATTTCTTGTTTACATGTTTAAGGTTTTTTTTGGGAACTATATTTACATGTTTAAGTTGATCTAAGGGTTAAACGAAGTCGTAAATTTTATTTATTTACTGCCTCTGGTCCTTAATATACAAGTTAGTTAATTAATTTGAGTAGATTGAGAAAATTAGTTAAGTTAGTTACTTGTATTAAATAAGTGTTGTTTTTCTTAAAATATCTTTGCTAATCAAGTATATTGATTAAAACTACTATTATTACAAAGATTATTTGGGAAAAAAATAGATAAGTATGATAAACAAAATTGATTGAAGTCTTTGTAATTAGGATTAAAATAAAAGTCAAATAAGCTTTTATATTAAAGATTGGAGGTAGTATTTTGCAAATCAATGCCTTTGTGAAAAATCTTATGACTGCGCATCCTTAAAATATATAGCCATGAGGATCAGGTTGTTGGATTTCTCTCTGTTGGCGGGAAAAATTGATTTCAAGAGTAGTGCATTGCACTTGTAAGGTTTCCACTCAAGAACGAGGAAAGAAGCAGTGAGCGGAAACTGCTATATGATTTTTTTTGGTTTTGGGTAACAGACAAGCTAGGCTTGAAAGAGAAAACTAAACCGCAAACATCCTGATAAGCTTTTGCAATTGACGCAGTAGATCTTCCAGTATGCTATTTGATTTTTCATTCTAATTGGCTGTAGATGCATGACATTGTCCAAGTTTTTTTTTTTGGGCCCGCGCATGGGAATTTTTTCGGCCCGTTTTCATTCCATTCTAAAACCCAGGAATAATCCATCCACTATATGAAAATGTCAACCTTGTCTTCAATCAATGTTTCCTTGAAACCAACGGATTAGATATAACAGAATAGGTTAGTCTCTCATAACGTGATAAGTCAAGGTTTAAATTCTTGCTGAGAGAGGCACCCATATTTAGTGTCTGATAGTGCCTCGAATAGGATTACCTTTAATAAGAAGATACCTATGCTTTAGCAAAAAAAAAAAAAGTGTTTCCTTCAAACTATGTTCGACGGCTGTATACAGTTTTAAAAATCCATGGTAGTGATTAATGATAATACTCTTTCGGTCCTAAATATAAAACCTATTTTGTGGTATAAATTACACTATAAAATATGTTTTATATTTAGAATCAACAGGCCTTATATTTAGGATCAGAGGATAATCAATTATAATCAATAAATCATCGACTAATATATCAATTATGATTAAAACTTTCAAGGGAAAATTACGTACAGATCTCACAGAAGAGATTTTATTCATCTAAGGTCTCACGAAATATCAAAATTACTGACAAGTCCCAAAGGACCTTAGAGTAATATATTCTATTTGTAAAATGATGTTATTGCCCCTCACATTTCAAATTCACATTTACTCTGTCATTGCATTTTACAACTTCAGCAGCAACTATTAACAACCCAATGAGAAGGTGTTGACAACCTAAGCAATATCTGTTAGCCACTTAGTTTATAAGATCACATAACCTCCACATAAGAGTAAATTATAACCAAATAGTATAATACAACAACTTTAACACTAAAATGGGAAGCTTTTTGAAATCATTAAGAACTTTAACTAAATCTACTAAGATTATAACAAAATTTTAATGTGAAAATCCATTGACAACTTCAACGGTGAGTATTAATAACCTAAGGAGAACTGTTAACAACTTTAACAGTGTCTGTTAACAACTGACTTTATAGGATAATATAACCTCTAACAACTATATAATATTAACTTTAACACTATTTAGTTATAATTTAGTTAGTTATAGTTAGAGGTTATATTATCCTATAAAGTCAGTTGTTAACAGACACTGCTAAGGTTGTTAACATTTTTCCTTAGGTTATTAATACTCACCATTGAGGTTGTCAATAAATCTCGGCATTAAAATTTTGTTATAATCCTAGTAGATTTAGTTAAAGTTCTTAATAGTTTCGAAAAGCTTCCCATTTTAGTGTTAAAGTTGTTGTATTATACTATTTAGTTATAATTTACTTTTATATGGAGGTTATGTGATCTTATAAAGTAAGTTGTTAACGCATACTGTTTAGGTTGTTAACACCTTTTTATTGGGTTGTTAATAGTTGTTGCTGAGGTTGTAAATCGCAATGACAGAGCAAATGTGAAATTGGAATGTGAGGGGCAGTAAGGTCTTTTTACAAATAAAACATATTACTCTAAAGTCCTTTGGGACCTGTCAATAATTTTGACATTTTATGAGATTTTAAATGAATAAAATCTCTTCTGTGGGACCTATGTGTAATTTTCCCATATTAAAACAACATCAAATATTCGGTTCATTCAAGTGTTTCTTTTTCAAGAATCTTTATTTTCCTATAACGACTAGTTTGCAAAAATCGAGTATAAAAGGAATACATGCTGAGTTGCGTCTTCAGAATCTTCAGCCATTTTTCTTCGTCTTCTTCAGCGCTGAGCCAATCAAGATCGCATTCCCTTCCATTGCCCGTCGTCCATCGGAATATACTGACAAAAAAAAAATTTTACGAAGTTGTGCATAGTTTGCTCTGCTTGTTAATCTGATTGACATTTCTCCATTGCGTTGCTGCAACAAACCCGAGCTTTACTTTTGGTGCTTTAGCCAAGCTTCAATGGCCTCCTCATAAGGTGATTTACTTACCGTAATGTGTTTGTGCACTTATTATGCGTTCCTCCTGCATGCTCTAACTATGCCCGTCTTTCCTTCGAACAGTGTTTCCTGGTCCATACTCTCATTCTCCGATGACGGAAACAGAAGAACGTCCGAAAGCTTACACTCTAGTGGAGAAGGCGTCTGAGGAAACGTCCATTCTTGTCCGCCATTCCAACCTCAATCAAGGCACGTTTCATTCTCTTTTCGATTTTTTCTTTTTAACTTTCCCCACAAGTTATAGAGTAATTCATTTTAAATTTGATTTTTCCTTTGAAGATCCCGCGAAAGAGAGTCGCCGACAATGTTCAAGAAAGAAGTCCAAGAATCGGCACATGAACAAAGCCACAGAAATGCCGCAGGCGATTCTCAACCTGCAGGACGAGAAGAACAGAGAATCAGCACTAAGAAAGCTCAGCAATTTTCTTCTTGAGGTTCTGCTTGAGAGTAGTTTCTTTCTCGTTCATTTCCATATCTAGGTTTCCGTTGCATATCTGGTTCTCAGAAATACTTGTGATTGGAACTATCATTCACTTGTTATCTTCTATCCATAATCCACATGAGTTTCAATTCTGCAAATGGGTTTCATTCTTTGGGGTCATTTTTCATATTTTCTCGTTTCGATAGATTACATCTCTTTGCGTGATCAAATGAAAATTAAGACTAATGACGATTCTTTGGCGTCTTACTTAGAAATTTGAACGATGAAAATTTTCTGACACTGGTTTTTATTGTGAGATTTGAGATAGAAGAGGGAGCAAGATCCGGATAATTACTACAGCATTGGGCATATGTTGTACCATTCCTGCAGTACAATGACTATTTTGCTACAGGTACGTGTTCCATAAAGGCATCAATTACGCGTATCATCGCTAGTTTGGCACTGCTTCTAATTCTTTCTTGAATAAATTTAGGAACAGAGCAATGGTCAAATAATACTTATTACTGTTAATTCTGTTGTTATTTGAAACAGGAGTTGTTGACGTTTTTCAGAATGATGGAAGATGGAAGTCTCACTGCAAGAGCTTCCAAGCGTTTGGCAAATGTTCTTACCTTATTCCAGGCAATTTAGATTTCTTTTAATTATTAATTGTAGAAGAAATAGTGAGAAATTTCCACCCTGGCTTCTATATATATTCAACATTTTCATTTTCATTTTGTTTTTTAGTCCAATTACAGTGCATTGCAGCTGGTAAGGAGACAAGGCACAAATTTGTGAAATGTGAGCCCTTGTGACCTTGGTTATGCATCTTTTGCGTCTATAACTTTATCTCTGACTCAATGTTGTTTCTTGATGAATAAAGCTTAAATTCCGTTATCTCTGTCTCAATTTTGTTTCATCATTAATATATTTTCAATCCCGTTATCACTAACTCAAGTTTGTTTCTTGATCAACATAGCTTCAATCCCCAATTTTCTGGTTCCACTAGTAACGTTTAGAGCTCCTCTGGAGGAATTTGAGAATGTTAGAGCTGTTGCACTGTCTGTGATAGGCATTCTATGCCAGGTAAACTCTATTTTGATGTTTCTAGCATTTTAAGGATTTTTTGTGTCGTGAAATGAAGTTCTTGAACTTTCATCCTGGAGATTGTATTGTTTTGAAGGCAAGAGAATCAAACATCATTCAATGGGCTGTGGAAAGTAACATGGTGGAAGTATGCCGGATTAGTGTAGAGATCGGAAACGAACTCTCCAAAGTGGTAGTTTGCACTTGCATTACTCTTTGTTACTTGTTGCTTAGATAAGTGTTTGAGTACAATATGATTCTCGAGCTATCAGGTCAGCAATACAGACAGTGATCGTTTGTTTGTGCTGCAGAACTGATAGGTTATCTGAAAATTAATCAATTCCGTGGTTTATGAAATATACCTACTTATTTATTTTTGCCAACGAAAATATATTTATTTATGAACTAAAGTTAACATACATCACTAAACTTGGCACATGAATCGACTTTTCTGATAACAAATTCATTTATTTGTTAATTTATTTTTGTGTAATATTTATGCACAACTTGATAGTAATAGAAGCTTGGTTCCTGGGAGAGCTTATTTTATCTTCTTTCAATCTTGGCTCTTTTGGAACGAAGTGTTTTATGATCATGTAGTAATACTAGAAGTCTTCTATGTTAATTGGAGTTGACTAACATTTAATTAGCATTTTTGCCCAGGTAGGAATGTTCATCATTGAAGCCATCCTACAAAACGACTCAGGATTGTCCTACATATGTAATCCCAAGTCTAAACTGCTTAAGAAACTGATGGCAACATGGTATCAACTGGTATTAATGTCTTCTAAACTTTGCCATTATTGTCCCGTTGTTGTCTTGAGCTTAAAATTTCTGTTGTTGTTTTTTTTCCCTCACTTATATAACTTTGTTTTGCTAGGTTACGTATTTAGATGTGGATCAAAGTTTCTCCCCTCGCCTCTTGTTTCATGTAATCCGGTGCTGTTCCTGTTATGCAATAATATGAGGTAAGATGCAGGTCTCACAGATCTGTTTTGATGATCCAATGCTCTAGCATAAAAGATTTTAGTCTTGGACTCTTGGTACGCGCAGCAAAAAAAAAAAAAAAAATTTCTGACACCTTTCCCTGTCAGTTGAATCAAACAACATTATTCTAATTTTCAGCATCGTGTCATCTAGGTTTTCGTCACTTGTTCTTATCTACACAAGCTCTTTTTCAAGAGAAGGATAAAATCTTTTGGATGTATTGCAATCTCTCACCCTATCTTCTGGTTGCTCGTTCTATGTTAATCAGGGGATATGACATGATAAGAGAGAACCTTCCAGATCCCATCTCAAATGGCTCTTTTCATCCAATAATAAATGTAGGCCTAAGTTTCTTATCTGAGCTTTCTCTAATTTCTAGTATTATGTGATGCTTACATCAAGGAATATGGAATTCATCTCTGAGGTTACTTATGTTTGAGCATCTACTTTTCGGTTTGCCAAATTGTAGGAGTTTCCTGTAATTGGGAGTTTGCTTCAACAACTTCTCCTGACAGTTGATAAGGTCGATAGCAGCAGAACAGCTTGTGAACGCTTGATCAGTGATGGATCATACATAGAGAACTCCATTTGAGGATTCTTTCTCTGTGACCATGAATACAAGAACTAGGCCCTTCAATTTTATTGCTGTGATGGATAGAAGACCAGCTAGTGTAAATAAAAATTGTATATTTGATGGTAAAAAACCATTGTATATTGGAACTACAATGGATGGAAAATTGACTGGAGCAGTTTGTAAATGTGAAAATGGTATGTAACTGTAGTTTTCTGATTCAAAATTCTGTCCCTCTGTTGCTTCTTGGTTTGTTATAGATCCTATTTCAAAATGTTCTATGCAGTTTTAGAAATAATCTCATTGTTACTGCACCATATGATTCTTAGTTTGTGGAACTAGCCATGACACTACTTTGGATCTCTCTTCCGAGTGTGGTACTCGTGTTTGGAAGGTAATAAACGCAAAGTACTCCGTTTTAACTTACGAGGTTAATATGTTGCAATATCAAGTCTACCGAATAGGCGCGGGCAAAATCCACAGCCCTTGTCCACATTAATTCTTGGGGAATTCTTGGCACTATCGAAAATCATTTTAAATATATTTAGGATTATTCTAAGTATACTTATTAGAATAAATAACTCCATGACCAAGAGGG